AACCAGTCTTGCAAATAAAGTCTAATCTCTCAACCGGAGGCAGTAATGATTCATCACATGAGGGATTTCAGCCAGAGGACCAGTAAATAAGGATCCTATCCACACACTCCAAGTCTTGGGTATCTGGAAGAGCACAGCTGGGTTAGTCAAAAAAATAATTAATGTATTGGCTGGCACATTTTGGCAGAATTTATCACACTTGTCTAAACATCCCCAGACAATTCATCAGTGTTGCCACAAGGAGACTGGAAAAATCCACTGCCTGATAAACCAACTGTAAAACAGCTGGTTTACACTCACATTTATCAATTTATAACTGAAAACCTCCTTGAAAAAACTGTGCAGAAAAAGCGAAGCATGCAGAAGGAAACACATACATTGCCTACACATACAAAGCAGGTGTAGGATTGTGGTTAAGAGCATGAACTCAAGTCCCAGTGTCTGGATTTCAATCCTGCACCATGACTCCCAAGGATGGTGACTTTACCTATCTAAGCCTCAATTTTCTCCTCTGTAAAATGATCACAAAACCTCGTAAATTAGGCTTATTCTGAGCATTAATCTATCCAGGTACAGCACTTAGCACATAGAATGTGTGGGGAGAGCGTGAGGCGTGGGGGGTATGCAAAGGAGTTTGGGTGATGAAGAAGAGGAGAATCCACAGGCTACCAGAGAAGTTTAAAACTAACCCCTAGTTAGTCTGCTGACCATGTTTACACCCCACAACCCCATGGAGACAAGGTGCCCTCACTCATGGTGCTTACTTCTGGAACAGATTCCAAAACAATTCATACAAATTCTGGAATCACCAAACATATATAGTTTAAAAAAAAAAAAGGCTTAAAACTAAGTAGTCTGTAGGAATACATTTAACAAAAGAAGTACAAGACATGTACTCTGAGAACTACAAAACATTGTTGAAAGAAATAAAAGAACATGTAAATAAATGGAAAGACATCTCACGTTCATGGATTGGAAGGCTTAATATAAGATGGCTATATTCAATGCGATCCCTATCAAAACCCCAGCAGCCTTATTTGCAAAAATTGTCAAGCTGACTCAAAAATTCATATGGAAATCCAAAGGACTTGGAATAGTCAAACAATATGGAAAAAGAACAAAGTTGTAGGACTCACACTTCGAGATTTCAAAACTTAGTACAAAGCGCTAGTAATTCAGACAGTGTGTGGTACTGACATAAGGACAGACAGATAGATGAATGGAACAGAATTGAGAGTCCAGAAATAAACTCATGCATTTATGGTCAATTTATTTTCAACAAAAGTTGCCAGACAATTCAGTAGGGAAAGAATAGTATTTTTAAACATATATTGCTGGAATAACTGAATAGCCACATGCAAAAAAAAAAAAAAAAGAAGAAGTTGGACTCCTTACCTTCACACCCTACATAAAAATTAATTTAAAAATGGATCACAGACAACCTAAAATGTAAGAGCTAAAGCTACGAAACTGAGAAGAAAACATAGGAGTAAATCTGCATGATCTTGGATTAAGCAACCGTTATTAGATACGACACTAAAGGCACAAGCAACAAAAGAAAAAAATAAATAAATTGCCAGGCGTGGTGGCTTATGCCTGTCATCCCTGCACTTTGGGAGGCCAAGGCGGGTAGATCACCTGAGGTCAACATGATAAAACCCCTGTCTCTACTAAAAACACAAAAAATTAGCTGGGCGTGTTGGCACATGCCTATAATGCCAGCTACTCAGGAGGCTGAAGCAGGAGAATCGCTTTAACCCAGGAGGCAGAGGTTGCAGAGAGCCGAGATTGCACCACTGCACTCCAGCCTGGGTAACAAGAGCATAACTCTGTCTCAAAAAACAAATAAATAAATAGGACATCATCAAAATTAAAAACTCTTGTGCTTCAAAAAGCACCATCAAGAAAGTAAAAAGACAACCAACAGAATGGGAAAAATTATTTGTAAATCATGTATCAAGAATACATAAAGAGGCCAAGTGCAGTGGCTCATGCCTATAATCCCAGCACTTTGGGAAGCTGAGGCAGGAGGACTGCTTGAGACCACAAGTTCAAGACCAGCCTGGCCAACACGGTGAAACCCCGTCTCTACTAAAAATACAAAAATTAACCAGGTATGGTGATATGCACCTGTAATCTCAGCTACTTGGGTGGCTGAGGCAAGAAAGTTGCTTGAACCCAGGAGGTGGAGGTTGCAGTGAGCCGAGATCACACCACTGCACTCCAGCCTGGGTAACAGAGTGAGACCCTGTCTCAAAAAAAAAAAAAAAAAAGGGAATATGTAAAGAACTTTTACAACCCAATAATAAAAAGACAACCCTATTTAACAATGGGCAAAGGGCCAGGTGCGGTGGCTCACACCTGTAATCCCAGCACTGTGGGAGGTCAAGGAGGGAGGATTGCTCCATACCGGGAGTTCGAGACCAGCCTGGCCAACATAGAGAAACTCCATCTCTACAAAAAATACAAAAATTAACTGGGCGTGGTGGCACGTGCCTATAGTCCCAGGTACTCAGGAAGCTGAGGTGCAAGAATCACTTGAGCCTGGGAGACTAGGGTTGCAGTGAGCCAAGACTGCACCATTGCACTGCAGCCTGGGTGACAGAGCGAAACTCTATCTAAAATAAAATAAAATAATAATGGGCAAAGGATTTGAATAGACATTACTACAATGCAGATATACAAATGAACAACAAGCACATGAAAAGATGATCAACGTCTTTAGGCATTTGGCAAATACAACCAGTGAGATGCCGCTTCATACCCACCAGGGTGACTGTAATAAAAAACACATGCAGTCACAAGTGTTGGTGAGAATGTGGAGAAATTAGAGCCTGTACGCGTGGTTAGTGGAAATGTAAAATGGTGCAGCTGCTTTGAAAAACAACTTGGCAGTTTCTCAAATAAACATAGATATAGATACCTACCAGGGATGCACAGATACAGCATGATTCCGTTGTATAAAGTGTCCAGAATAGGCAAAACCTATCTAACTGAGGCTTAGGTGGGTAAAAAGATAGAAAGTAGATTTGTGGTTTCCAGGGGGTGGGGGAAGAAAGGAAGGAGGCCATAAGGAGTGACTGCTGATGGATATGGCGTTTCTTTTTGAGAAGATAATAGTGTTCTGAAATTAGGCCGGGCACAGTGGCTCATACCTGTAATCCCAGCACTTTGGGAAGCAGAGACGGGTGGATCATCTGAGGCCAGGAGTTTGAGACCAGCCTGGCCAACATGGCAAAACCCTGTCTCTACAAAAATACAAAAATTAGCTGGTCATGGTGGTACATGCCTGTAGTCCCAGCTACTCGGGAGGCTGAGGCAGGAGAATCACTTGAACCGAGGAGGCACAAGTTGCAGTGAGCCAAGATTGTGCCACTATACTCCAGCCTGGGTGACAGAGTGAGACTGTCTCAAAAAAAAAAAAAAAAAAAAGGTGATGAAATTGGTAGTGATGGTTGCACAACTCTGTGAATATACTAAAACCACTAAATTACACACTCAAAAGGGGTGAATGTTATGGTATGTGAATTGTATCTCAATTAAACTGTTATTTCAAAATAAAACTAAACTAAACCAAGGGTTCTAGGTGCCCCTAGTGACTCCAACATGACAGCTTACATCCACTCTGTCTGGCTGATGTGGCGAGCTGTGGAAAGGCACCCACTGCTCCCTGTTCTGTTCAGGTCTCCTCCCCGCCTACTTGGCTCAGAGGACTCCCCTACTCACCTAAGTTTCTGGCCACTGTAGCCATAGGAGCAGCAAGAACAAGAAGAAGGACATAGCTGTTACGTTTTGTGAATTGTATTGTGAGAACTGATCAGCCCCCACTGCTTACTTCAGCGCCCTAACCCATTTCACTCCAGGATACTGGTAGGGTTGCCAGATAAAATACAAGACACTCAATTACATTTCAATTTCAGGTAATCAATGAATAATTTTTTGGTAGCAGTATGTCTCAAATGTTGCATCATTCATTTAAAATTTAACTGGATATCCTGTATTTTTATTTGCTAAATTTGGCAACCCTACACTCTGGTTTCCATGCCATCCCTGAAACACACGAACTACACTCTCACCTCGGGACCTTTGCATTGGTTCTTTCTGCCTGAAATTCTCTTCCCCCAGATAGTCTCATGGTTCCCTTCCCACTTCAGGTTTTTGTCTAAACAGCATCTCATCATAAGAAGGCGTCTCCTACACACCTTATACAGAAGAGCCACTTTTACCTGGCACTCCGATGCCCCTTCCCCTCGGCATTCACCACCACCTGACATTTACATATATATATATGTATATATATTAGTGGCTAATTGCCTGCTTTCCCCTCAGTACATTGGAGACTCCTTGAGGGTAAGGCTTCTTTTATTCACTGCTGCATTCCTAGTGCTTAGGACAGGGCCTGGCATGGAGAAGGCAATATGTTAATATTTACTGAATGAGTACAGAAGTGTTGTGCATGGGTTATCCCATCTATTCTTCCAAACAGCCCTATGAAACAAATACTGCCACCAACTGTGTTTCATAGATGAGACAGCTAAGACATGAAAGTCAAATAACTCATCAAGAGGCCCATTGCAGATGCAGGAGCCAGACCCCAAATGACCCACCTCCCTGCACCAGCTCACTGTCACAGGCACTGCACAGCTCACTGTCACAGACACCGCACAGCTTACTGTCACAGGTGGCGGGGCAACTTGGAGCTCGGGTGGCAGGTGTTTCTGACTCCTTCCATTTAGGGTACTCTGGGTTAGATGAAGGAAGGAGCCACAAACACGTCTGAGAGTCTACATTTGCACCAGACAGCTGAATCCTGGATTTAATTAAGGCTTGATTTTTGCCTACACAATTATTGTGGAATATAAAGTGTTTCAAATAACTATAGAGTATTTCAAATAACTAAAGGCTTGATTTGCCTACACAATTACTGTGCAATATAAAGTGTTTTAATAACTACCTAAACTTCCATTAATGGAGAAGTCTGTGTGGGTATCTATACTCACTTTTATTTCTTCTTGAACATCAGGATTGCGGAAATTTAAATCAGGTTGCTCTTTCATAAACTGGTGAAAATAACACTGGTTTCGCACTTCATCAAAGTGCCAACTGGAGTTTCCATATACACTTAACTGGCAAACAAAGAAAACAGCACATCAGTTACACATAATGGTATTGCCAGCAAATAAAGATCACTGTCCTCCCTGATCCTTTGCAGGCAGAGTATGTAAATCCTGAGAGTTTTCCTCTATGGACAGCAGCAGGTTAAAGTAACCCCTCCAAATACTCCCCACCCCGTTGGCCTAATGCCGAACAAACAGAGTTGCAATGTATTTTTATAGTAGAGGCTGTTTGTAACAACTGCAACAGCAAACCAGCGCTCTCAAATCCAAGACAAGGTCAACTTAAGGAACAGACATTAATAATGTATTTTCTTGAATCTTCTGTACAGGGTCTGAACTCTTGTTTGTGAAGAGAAGCAAAATGGTAGTCAATTTGGAAGAAAGACACATTCTGCTCATCTTGGAGCTTGAGTCCAGATAGACTGAATATTTAAATTGTATCCCCAGAAAAGTATTAGAATCCTTCACTTAAAATCTCTACCAGTCTCCAAGAATAAAAAGCAACTTCAAGTGTTGGTACTCAGCAATAGTTGACTCTGTCACTGGTCTCCTCTGTCTGGAAATGCTCACATGTATGGCCCCAAGGCGTGACTCTCCCAGCTGCCCTCCCACATCTCTGACCACTCCTTAAGTCAACGCGGTGGGCCCCTGAATGTGAGAGCTTCATGGGGCTCTGTCCTAGGCCTTTTGTCCATTTCATGTTAAAGAGAACATCTGGAAAACATTTAAAAACTGAGAGGTTTCACATAAATCTTTTTGAGTTGGAAGACGTAGTTATGCTGGGTCCACATGTCCATGGCAACAAGAGGCAGATGCTGAGTAGCAGCTGCTGCCTTTCAAGGACATGCGCCCCTTCCAGTTCAACACACAGCCCGCCTGGACACAACCAGGGCAGGAGATTTTTAGTGTACATGATCAATAAAAGATCAGTATCCAGAATACAAAAAGAACTGAAGAAAGCAATTTCAAAGGGATAAATAATCCAAAAGAAAGTAGGGGAAAAAAACCATAAACAGGTGCTTCGCAGAAATAGACACTCAAGTGAATAAATATAGGAAAAGATGTTCAACATCATTAGGAATTAGATAATTACTGTATTAAGAATTAGACACATCATTAGTAATTAAATAAATATAAAATTAAGATCTCAATGCCATATTGTTTTAAGTTGGGGCTGGGCATGGTAGCTCATGCCAGTAATCACAGCATTTTGAGAGGCTGAAGCGGGAGGACTGCTTGAGGCCAGAAGTTCAAGACCAGCTTGGGCAACATAGTGAGACCCCATATTTACAAAAAAAATTAAAAAACTCAGCCAGGCATGATGGTGCGTGCCTGTGGTCCAGCTACTAAGGAGGCTGAGGCAGTGAGGAATGCTTGAGCCCGGGAGCTCGAGGCTGCCGTAAGCTATGATTGAGCCACTACGCTCCAGCCTGGGCAACAGAGTGAGACCCTGACACAAAATAATGATAATAATAATTTTTAAATAAATATTACAAAGTTGGGCAATACCAGGAATTAATGAGAACATGTATTTTTTTAATACTTCTGTGGGGGATATAAATTGGTACAACCATTTTGATAATTAATTTGACACTATCCTGCAGAGCTGAGCATGCAACATCCTGCACAGCAATTTTACTCCTAGTTATTTACCTTAAAGAAGCCTTTGGTTGGGCGCGGTGGCTCACGCCTGTAATCCTAGCACTTTGGGAGGCCGAGGTGGGCAGATCACAAGGTCAGGAGTTCAAGACCTGCCTGGACAATATGGCGAAACCCTATCTCTACTAAAGATACAAAAATTAGGCGGGCGTGGTGATGGATGCCTGTAGTCCCAGATACTTGGGAGGCTGAGGCAGGAGAATCACTTGAACTGGGGAGGCAGAGGTTGCAGTGAGCCAAGATCACGCCACTGCACTCCAGCCTGGGTGACAGAGCAAGACTCCATCTCAAAAAAAGAAAAAAGAAGACCTTGCACATGTACCCCAAGATAGATTAATGGGAGTGTTCATAGTAACATCGTTCATTAAAAAATAACCAAAACAAAACTGGAAGTAGCCCAACTTCCCATCAACTGAAGAGTGGGTAAGTAAACTATGGATTGTTCATACAGTGAAATATACAACAATGAAAATATATGAGCTACCTGAAGCTACATGAATAAATTGTGAAAAAGTTAGTTACAGAAGACTATACCTAGCGTGATACTTTTCATAAAGTTCAAAATAGAAGAAACTAAAAAATAATTTTTTTAGAGTCGAAGTCTTTATACTACAAGGTTTTTATCCATCATATACATATACGTATTTTTGAACATATTAACTATTACATTAGAAAATGCAACCCTGACTATAGTGAACAACTAACAAAGCAATGGAAAAACTAGATACAAAAAAGGCAGCTGTGACCATTCTATAAGCAAGAAGTGATATGGTTTGAGCATAGCAGCAATTTTTAAAAGCAGACTGTGGAGCTGGAATGACTAGATCCCATCGTTAGCCCTGTCATTTATTAGCTGAATAACCTCAGTCTGCCTATCTGCAAAACAGGAATTACACCTGACTCATAGGATTATAGAGTGGATTAACTAAATTAATGAATATAAAACACTTAGCACAGAGCCTGGAACAGAGTTAGTATTTTGTAAATGTTTGCTAATGTCATTGCAATTTCAACAAGTCAGTGAACTGGAGGAAAAGATTAAAGAGGTGAAACTGCCAGGGCTTGCTGACAGCCTGTTCCTCAGGCTGCATGGTGGTACCATTCACTGAACCTGGAGACGAAAGGTAGGGAGAAGATCACACATCACAAAGTCGGCCTGGAAATGTGTCAATTCTGAGTGTCCTTGGGTCACCTAAAAGTTGATGTTTAAATATTTATAGAGAAGGTCCAGAAGAGAGAAGGAGGACTGAAGGAGGAAGGGATGATCCAGAATAAAGGCAGGAGAGAACACAAACCCGAGCAAGGGGAAGCTCTGGCCTGGGACAGAAGCAGAGCTGCCAGATGAAGTGCAGGATGCCCAGTCACATCTGAATTCAGATCAACAACACATATTGTTGAGTATAAGCATGACTCATGCGGCCAGGCACAGTGGCTTACACCTGTAATCCCGGCCGTTTGAGAGACCGAAGCAGGAGGATCACTTGAGCCCAAGAGTTCAAGACCAGCCTGGACAACATAGTGAAGCCCTCTCTTTACAAAAAAATAAAATACTAGCTGGGCATGGTGGCACACACCTGTGGTCCCAGCTACTTGGGAGGCAGAGCTGGGAGGATTGCTTGAGCCCAGGAGGCAAAGACTGCAGTGAGCCATGATCAAGCCACTGCACTCCAGCCTGGGAGACAGAGCAAGACCCTGTCTCTGAAAAACAAAAATAAAAAAGAAGGTATGGTCCACACTAAAAACCTATTTATGCACTGCTTATCCAAAATTCAGATTTAACTGGGCATTCTGAATTTTTATTTGCTAAATCTGGTCACCCCAGAAAGGAGGGATGTGGCCTCTGTTGTAAAAGGAGTGAGTAGGAAGAGGTTGGGAATGGGGCAGGCAGGCTTGATGGCCTCTGTTTTCTCTGTGAAGTCGAGTTTGCTGCTGAGAGTGATCGGGGCAGAGGCAGATACGATGTTTGAAAAGACGGAGGGAAGGAAAGTTGATCAGTTGGAATTAGCAAAATTCCCAAGAAGATTGGATGGCTCAGTTCAGGTGGGGACAATGAAGGTGTGATATCTCCAGAGACTCAACTACCAGGATTTAGGCAAAAAGAAAGTAGATAATTGGGTTCATTCATGGCTAGGGTTTTGTCAGAGGAGACAAAAAGTCAGAAAGGCAAAGGGGGCGGGGCGCAGTGGCTCACACCTGTAATCCCAGCACTTTGGGAGGCTGAGGTGGGCGGATCACCTAAGGTCAGGAGTTCAAGACCAGACTGGCCAACATGGTGAAACCCCACCTCTACTAAAAATACAAAAATTAGCCGAGTATGGTGACATGCACCTGTAATCATAGCTACTGGTGAGGCTGAGGCAGGAGAATTGCTTAAACCCAGGAGGCAGAGGTTGCAGTGAGCCGAGATCGTGCCATTGCACTCCAGCCTGGGGGACAAGAGCAAAACTCCATCTCAAGAAAAAATAAATAAATAAGCAAAGGGGTATGGATAGTAGAAACATGGTTATCAAACTAATGGGACATGGAATCCAAGTTGGATCAGGTAGGAAGTGAAGCAAGAGTGGAAGGAGAGAATATAGGTTTGAATTTGCTAGAACACATCACCTCTATGATGAAATCAGAAACCTAAATAATAATTGGAGGTCTGGGTAAATAATAACTGGAAGCCTTACGTCTATTTCTTTCAGAAACTTCCCCCTTCCCATAAACTATATTCATTAATTTTTTTCCTCAAAAGGGTTTTACTAAACCAGTTCAATCACTGCATATCTGCCTTTTACCGCTTTGTAAATCAGACAGGTTGATACTTACCCAGTTGTTGGGTGGAACAGTTGTGCCATTTTCATGGGTACAGTCATGCCAGATATAATAATCAGTATATTTTCCTGTCCGTGTCCGACTCAATTGAAACCAAGTATGTTTATCACTGGTGTGGTTTGGTATGAAATCGATGATTAATTTTAAACCTAATGAGTAAAAAAAATTTCAAATGCTAGGAAAAGTTGTATTAGAATAACATATGACAGGCCAGGCACAGCAGTGGCTCACGCCTGTAACCCTAATACATTGGGAGGCTAAGGTGGGAGGACTGCTTGAGCCCAGGAGGTGGAGGCTGAAGTGAGCCATGATTACGCCACTGCACTCCAGCCTGGCAGACAGAGCAAGACCCTGTCTGGAAAAAAAAAAAAAAAAAGAAGGGAAAGGGGGGGGGCAGAAAGGAGATAGGGAAGGAAAAAGGAAAGGGAAAGGAGAAAGGAAAAAAGGAAAGGGAAGGGAAGGAAGAAAGAGAAAGAGAAGGAAGGAAGGAAGGAAGGAGGGAGGGAGGGAGGGAGGGAGGGAGGGAAGGAAGGAAGGAAGAAAGGAAGGGGAGGGAGGGAGGGAGGGAAAGAAATAGTACACGACAGTTAAAGGGAAGAAATGCTTTAAGTAAACATTTGAAAAAGTGCTTCTCTCAACCCTCACCCCCATGCTGCCCACTTTCCATTCAACTTACCTTTATCATGTATGGCTGCAACCAGATTCTCAAAATCTTCCATCGTTCCAAAAATGGAATCGACTTGCCGGAAGTCTTCAACACCATATCTGAAATCTTTAAGGGACGACTTATAAAATGAAGTAATCCAAACAGTTTTTACATTTAAAGCTGTGATGTAGTCCAGTTTATCTTGAATACCTGAAGAAAAAAGTCAAAGTCATGAACAAATCCTACTTTGTTTTAGTTAAAGGACAAAAAATATAACAAATATGCCTAAGATGGAAATATTTACATGAAGGCAAAAATACATAGAATTTTGTTGAATTTGAGTATAATTCAAATAGGAAGATCTAGCTCTATAAAAAAACAACAACATCAAATTAGGCCGGGTGTCGTGGTTCATACCTGTAATCCCAGCACTTTGGGAGGCCAAGGAGGGAGGATATCTAAGGTCAGGAGTTCAAGACTAGCCTGGCCAACATGGCAAAACCCTGTCTCTACTAAAAATACAAAAATTAGCTGGGCGTGGTGGCACATGCCTGTGATCCCAGCTACCTGGGAGGCTGAGGCAGGAGGATCACTTGAACCCGGGAGGTGGAGGCTACAAGGACCCAAGATCGTGTCGCTGCACTCCAGCCTGGGCGACAGAGCAAGACCCTTTCTCAAAAAAAAGAAAAAAAGAAAAGAAAAGAAAAAATCAAATTAGTTACCTAGCAGTAATCGATGATATTTAACATAGCATTAACAAAAATCTGTGACTTACTCATTTTTTTATATTTAAAACCAAGACTATGGTATTGTTCATTCATTCTACACATAGTTTTTGAGCAGCTAATCTATGCCAGCTCCTGAGCTAAGTGTCAAGGAACAGAGCAGAGTAACACATGGCCCCATCGGTCACGTGGTCTACACTGCACTGTTCTAACAGCCAGGTGCCACATGTGGCTACTGAGCACGGGCAGCGTGGCTGGTTGGAATTGAGCTGTGCTGTAAGGGAACAACATGTATTGGATTTTGAAGACCCTGTACAAAAAGAAAGAATGTAAAAATCTCATTAATATTTTTATACTGGGCCGGGCATGGTGGCGCATGCCTGTAATCCCAGCACTTTGGGAGGCCATGGTGGGCAGATTGCTTGAGCTCAGGTATTCGAGACCAGTCTGGGTAACATGATAAAACCCTGTCTTCAAATAAAAAAAAATAATAATAATATGTATATATTTTTATACTGATTATGTGTTGAAATGATACATTGGATTAAACAGAACATATTAAAATCAATTTCACCTGCTTCTTTTTTCCTTTTTTTAATGTGGCTACTACAGAATTTACAATTTCTTATGTGACTCCCATTGTGTTTCTTTTGGGTGGTGTTGGTCTCGGAAGCGTCTGCAGGCAGGGGTGGCATGACGACAAGACTGGAGAAGAGCTAAGGAAGTGCTGCAGAAAGTGCTTTAAGGGCATCAGGGCATTAGCCCCTGGCCCCCAGGGGCAGAGGAAGCTGATGACCCCTGAGGGTAAGGACAGACAAGGCCCAGGATGGTGCGGGCAAGAGGGATCAGAGTGAAGGGCTTCCAGGCACAGCAAAGGAAAGGAGGGAGCAAGCATAGACAGGGCATGTCTAAAAAAGGGTGAGAAGGCTGGACACAGTGGCTCATACCTGTAATTCCAACACTTAGGGAGGCTGAGACAGGTGGATCACTTGAGGTCAAGAGTTCAAGACCAGCCTGACCAACATGGTGAAACCCTATCCCAACTAAAAAATACAAAAATTAGCTGGGGACGGTGGTGCATGCCTGTAATCCTAGCTACCTGGGAGGCTGAGACAGGAGAATTGCTTGAACGTGGGAGGCAGAGGTTGCGGTGAGGTGAGATTATGCCACTGCACTCCAGCCTGGGTGACAGAGTGGGACTCCATCTCAAATAATAATAATAATAATAAATATAAATAAATAAGTAAATACATCAATTAATTTTAAAAGGTGATAAATGTTGTCAGCGCCCGGGGTCTGAGGAGGAGTGTAACCACAACACGGAAGATAAGTCTGTGCCAGTATTTGAGGAGTCTTTGTTTCCACTCTCAGACTGCCTTTGAACTTGCCACATTTGGCCTGTTTCCCTTATTCACTTATATAGGAAGCCAGGAATTTATACAGAAGAGAATTTTAGGCTTAGCTGAGAAGACATGTGGAAATGAAACTTTGTATTTGGAACTTCGTAGGATAACGAGCAGATAATGTGTTTTCTCCTTCTAGTTCAGAGTCCTAAATGCATATTCAGCAACTTGAGTCTAGTATTCAATCTCTAGTAACTTTCTGTATAATCCTGATGTGGCTTCCTAGAATCAAACTGTCAAAGGCCACACAGCAGGCTGAAGGTCACTAATTCCAAAGCACAGTCATTCCACACCTAGGATCTGGGCTCTTCCCCTGTAACAGGCTGCTTTTTTTTTTTTGAAACGGAGTCTCGCTCTGTCGCTCAGGCTGGAGTGCAATGGTGCAATCTCTGCTCACTGCAACCTCTGCCTCCCGGGTTCATGCCATTCTCCTGCCTCAGTCTCCCGAGTAGCTGGGACTCAACAGGCAACAAAAGAGTTTTGATCTAAGCCAGCACAGCAACACAATGTATCTTATGATGAGGCACAAAGGAACATGAGGATGAAAACAAAGTGGCTAGAGAGAGAAAGTAAACAAGGGATCCCACCCCACATTTTAGGGGGAGAGAGGGCAATCAGTAAAACCAGACTCAAAACTGGAATGGGATCTTCATCATAACAACAACGAAATCCTCTCAACCTCAAAGACAAATGCCTATGGATTGCAGGAAGTAAAACATTTCTCCAAGAACAGGTATTGGAAATGGCAAACGTCAGAGCTGATTAGAAACCACCGTGTTGGCCGGGCGCGGTGGCTCAAGCCTGTAATCCCAGCACTTTGGGAGGCCGAGATGGGCGGATCACGAGGTCAGGAGATCGAGACCATCCTGGCTAACACGTTGAAACCCCGTCTCTACTAAAAAAAATACAAAAAACTAGCCGGGTGACATGGCGGGCGCCTGTAGTCCCAGCTACTCGGGAGGCTGAGGCAGGAGAATGGCGTGAAAAACCCGGGAGGCGGAGTTTGCAGTGAGCTGAGATCCGGCCACTGCACTCCAGCCTGGGCGACAGAGCCAGACTCCGTCTCAAAAAAAAAAAAAAAAAAAAAAAAAAAGGAAACCACCGTGTTTATAGGAATGTTGGACCTATCTAGAAGGAGATTATTAGGAAGGCAGGGCCAGGAAGTGGTAAGTGTATCTCTGGATTTAGGGCTTTAGGTCTATTCAGTCAGAACATTGCTTTTGCTGTGTGCAAAAGGCAGTAGGTAATAGGTCATGTGTCGGGGAAAGGGAGTCACTCAAGGCAGGATTAAAGGATGCTAGAAACACATCCAAAGCCAAAGAGTCTGGGGTGGGGAGCCCATGGTCTGATTAGGGAGGCTAAAGAAAGAGTAATGAAGGCAATGGGTTTGAGCTGCACCGTGAAGGATGGATACACTCTTCTTCAATGAGTGACAATGCAGGACAATTTTTTAAAAGAGAATGATACAGCCGGATGCGGTGACTCACGTCTGTAATTCCAGAACTTTGGGAGGCTGAGGCAGGCAAATCACCTGAGGTCAGGAGTTCGAGACCAGCCTGACCAACACGGAGAACCCTCGTCTCTATTAAAAATACAAAATTAGCCAGGCATGGTGGCGCATGCCTGTAATCCCAGCTACTCAGGAGGCTGAGCCAGGAGTATTGCTTAAACCCAGGAGACGGAGGTTGCAGTGAGCTGAGATCATGCTATTGCACTCCAGCCTGGACAACAAGAGTGAAACTCTGTCTCAAAGAGAGAGAGAGAGAGAGAGAGAGAGAGAGAGAGAGAGAGAGAGAGAATGAGACCAGTGTGAAAAAGAAAATCCTTCTACTAGTGATTAAGGAAAGTTGCAGGTTTCAAGAGTTCATTTGTAACATTTTAAAGATACATTAAGCCCATTTCTACTTTCCCCATTCATATCATCCTGTTTTGTTTTCTTCAAACCAATTATCATTGTAAAACATTAGTTTGTTAGTTTCCTAATTTGTTTCGTATTGTTGCCTTGAACTAGAGTGACCATACTAACCAATTTGCTCAGAAGTTCCCAGTGTATGCCTGCCATCTGGCATAATTTTACCCTTAGGTATGTTCTGGTTTGAGCAATGTATTGTAAGGATGTTTTATATATAACCCCCCCCCCAAGAAATTATTAACTTAGCTTTTTTAAAAAATAATTTTTCACTTTTTTTTTTTTTTTTGGAGATAGGGTCTTCCTATGTTGCCTAAGCTGGCTGGCTGAAAGGTCCTAGACTCAAGCAATCCTCCCACCTCAGCCTGCCAAGTAGCTGCAACTACAGTCATGTACCACTACCCCTGGTTAATTCTTTACTTCAGTTTCATACTAATATGGACATGGTTTTAAACAATCTTTAATTCAAGTAATGACGAATGCATACTGCTACACCTTTTCTCCTTTCCTTCCCTTTTTTAGAATTTAAACTTTAAGACTCAGCCTGTACTTTTTACAGATATAACTTGATTTTTTAAAAAAATATTATTTATGCTCTATTCACTAATAAACTCCCAGCCACACAGCCAAACTAGCCACATCGTATACTGGGAAAGCAATTCCCAACTGCCACCCTGACATATTCAACTATAAAGTTCCCAGAAACAGGACATAGATTTTAGAAGGAAGGCTGCTCTATGTAAGAAGTTAGAATTGATGACTGAACAACTATATGTACTTAGTGGGCAATAAATTAAACAACTCATTTGGCTCAAAGGCCTTCAGCAAATAGCCTTTCAGCTAGTAAAAGAACTGCTGGCTTCTGCTGAGTGATTTTCTAAGAATATCATAAACAAGGAGCAACTTGGCATGACCATTCATAATGGAATGTGCTTACTGAACAACCCAGGCATAATTTGGTTCCGAGGAACGAAAGAACCATAAACCCATCTTTCCTGGCACCCACCCTGAACAATCTCTGGGCATGTACCTTTCAGATCTCCGTTCCCATCCTTGTTACTGTCCTTGAAAGACCTCGGGTAGATCTGGTACATGGGGCCCTCCTGCCACCAGTCTAGGCACTTTGGAGAGAGGACAATGATGGCTACGGTGGCCGCGATGAGCACCAGGACAGAAGCCACGGCGAGCCAGAAGAGGATCTCCCGGGGTATGCGGTAGCGGGCCTGGCCAGAGAACTGGAAAAGAACCTCCTTGGGCATCCCCGCATAGGGCTGGACGCCCTTGAAGTCCGGCTCCTGGGAGCCAAGGATGCTTGTGGTGCTGTGCTGCAGGTTGTCTGCTGAGCTACCTGTATCCGGGGTCTGCTCCAGAATGTCTTCATTATGGACAAACCCATTGTTTGTCTGGCATCCCTTCATATTCATCCCGATGGAGTCTCTCTTGCTTTTATCTTCAGCCATGTCTCACTGACTTATGCCTTCAGAGTGCCTTACTCCAGTAAGGGAGGTAGAAGAGTGGCTTGCTGAATGCTTGGTCTTGTTAATGAACTTTGTGTGGTTTATAAATAAACCTGGCTGGACAAAGTCCAGCCAAGGAAGAAAGGGTAAAAAGTACAAAGGTTTAAAAAAAAAAAAATCTCGGGACGGGCGTGGTGGTTCACGCCTGTAATCCCAGCACTTTGGGAGGCTGAGGTGGGCAGATCACCGGGGGCAGGAGTTGGAGACTAGCCTGGCCAACATGGCCAAACCCCGGCTCTACTAAAGGTACAAAACAGCCGGGCATGGTGGCGCATGCCTGTAATCCCAGCTACTTGGGAGGCTGAGGCAGGAGAATTGCTTGAACCCGGGAGGTGGAGGTTGCGGTGAGTGGAGATCATGCCATTGCACTCCAGCCTGGGCAACAAGAGTGAAACTCGGTCTCAAAAAAAAAAGGCTGGGCATGGCGGCACTTGCTGTAATCCCAGCTGGAGGCTGAGGCAGGAGAATCACTTGAATCCAAGAGGCAGAGGTTGCAATGAGCTGAGATAGCACCACTGCACTCCAGCTTGGGTGATGGGAGTGAGACTCTGTCTCCAATAAATAAATAAAGGACTGAAATTCTGACACATGCTGCAACATGGATGAACTTTGAGGACATTATGCTAAGTGAAATAAGCCAGACACAAAAGAACAAGCATGATTTCACCTAGATGAGGTATCTAGAGTAGTCGGATTCATAGCAACAGAAAATAGAAAGGGGGTTACTGGAGGTTGGAGGAAGGGGATAATGGGGAGTTACTGTTCATTGAGCAGAGAATTTCAGTTTGGGATGATGAAAAGTATTCTGGAGATGGATGGTGGTGATGGTTGCATAACAGTATAAATGTACTTAATGCCACTGAAATGTTATATATGTTTTACCACAACTTTTTTTTAAAGCTTAAAGCTTTCTCTATTTAGCCAGGCATAAGAAAAATGACTTTGGGGGGAAATTATTTTTCTTATACGTGGTTAAATAGAGGAAGTGGGAAGATAGCTTGAGCCCAGGAGTTGGAGACCAGCCTGGACAATATAGTAAGACCTCATCTCTACCCCCAAAAAAAGAAAAACATTTAAAATTAGCTGAGCATGGTGGTGCACCCATGTAGTCCCAGTTACTCAGGAGGCAGGCTGATGTAGGAGGATCACTTGAGTACAGGAGGCAGAGGTTGCAGTGATCTGAGATCACGCCACTGTACTCCAGCCTGGGTGACAGAGCAAGATTCTGTCTCAGCAACAACAAAACTGAATGTAATGATTTAAGATGTCCCTCTCATCGGGAGCACATACAGCTCTATGAATCATCTGATCTGATAATGAGATTTTTTTTCTTTTAAATGATGATAGTTATCTGGGGCCCTAATCTTAGTGTTTCTTTTGCGGAGTGGCTTAGAAGCACTATACAGTATAGAGGTACAGAGGAAGGAGCTACTTAATCTTGGACAAATTATATTTAAAAATGAGTAAATCCCAATACTTGGCTCATTGAATGCACTCAGTGATACCTCTCATTATTTTTAATTATGCCCACTGAATATTTTTTATTTTTTGAGAAGGAGTTTCACTCTTATTGCCCAGGCTGGAGTGCAATGGCCTGATCTCAGCTCACCCGCAACCTCTGCCTCCCAGGTTCAACCAATTCTCCTGCCTCAGCCTGCTGTGTAGCTGGAATTACAGGTGCCCGCCAACATGCCCAGCCAATTTTTTGTATTTTTAGTAGAGACAGGTTTCACTAAGTTGGCCAGACTGCTCTGGAACTCCTGACCGCAGGTGATCAACCCGCCTCGGCCTCCCAAAGTGCTGGGATTATAGGCGTGGGTCACCGCGCCTGGCACCAAATCATTTTCTAACAAAGAGCAGCCAGTAAAGTCAAGCTGCAGACATAGACAAGCAAACTGGGAGCTTGCACAGGTGGATGCCACAGGAAAGAACTACCCGGGCCTAGACATGTTCAAAATGGCGGCTCCATCTCCCCTTCTCTGCCAGCCACGTGTACAGTAAGGAGCAGACAAGATGGCCTCAGCGGAGGGGAGAGTTCATTTGCATAATAGGATTAGGGTGGGGCTACCAGCCTTCCATGTGTGCTATGTAAATGTCACACCTGACCCAAAAAACCTGTGAGCCCTACCTAAATCTGACATGGCCTCCTCAAGCTGGACTATCAAATCTGGCGTGTCCACCACCAGCTGACCTTTTCCTCTTGGAAGTCCCTTCTTTCTCACTAAAGAGAGAGCTATTTTCCTTTCTCTTTCTCCTTCTTTTGCTATTAAACATCTGCTCCTGGCCAGGCACGGTGGCTCAGGCCTAGTAATCCCAGCACTTTAGGAGGCCAAGGCGGGTAGATCACCTGAGGTCAGGAGTTGGGGACAAGCCTGACCAACATGAAGAAACCCCGTCTCTACTTAAAAATACAAAATTAGCTGGGCGGGGAGGGTTGTGCCTGTAATCCCAGCTACTCAGGAGGCTAAGGCAGGATTGCTTGAGCCCAGGAGGTCAAGACTGCAGTGAGCTGTGATCACCCTACTGCACTCCAGCCTAGGTGACAGAGTGAGTGAGGCTCAAAACAAAAAAAGAATATACACCATACTTTATAAGTGGGCATGTGAGATTTTTTTCGTTTGTTTTTGGCTATTATAAATAAAACTGCTACAAGCAATCACGTACAACTCTTTCTAAGAATATAGCTTCCTTTTCTCTTAGGAACCAACTAGCAGTGAAATAGCTGGATAATATGGTAAGTGTATAGTTAATTTTTAAGAAACTGCCAAACTGTTTTGGTAAGTAGTTGTATTGAGGCAGGAGAATAGGGTTTGAAGGCAGGGAATGTAAGGCTGTTTCACTCAGCGTTCCTAGAACTAAACTGAAAGGAAAACCCTAATTTTCCATGCCTAAATCACAAAAACCAGAGGCTACTCCCTTTACAAATCCCCCGCCTTTTCTGCCAGGCATGGGAAATTGACTGTCAGCAACCAATCAGACTGATTGTGGGTGAAGTCTTCCTTTGCAACTTTGTAACTTCACTCCAGCCTCTGAATGGTTGCTGTCCACAACCAATCAGACTGATTGTGGGCCGAGTCTTCGTTTGCATAGAAGTGTAACTTTGTAACTTCACCCTAGCCTCTGATTGGTTGCTTTCTGCAACCAATCATATGTTTGCACAGGAGTGTAACTTTTGTAACCACGTCATCCTCTGGTTGGCTGCTTTCTGCAACCTAACAGACTGATTGTGGGCTACCACTTCATTTACCTGAGGTGAGCATGAAGTGGCCAATGGGAAACTTGTAGAGGGTATTCGGACCGGAGAAGATTCTGTATCGGGGCCCTTGAGCCGCTGCTCGGCTTGCTCCCACGCTGTGGAGTGTACTTTCGTTTTCAATAAATCCCTGATTTCGTTTTTTTTTTTTTTACACCAGTTATCAAATGATCCTTTATTGAAATATTTTCCTTTGTGCTTAACTGGCTGGGCATTCCACAGCACCACTGTTGATGTCATCTATGATGTCATGAGGGTGGCGCCATTAACATTACAACCCACAGAGTGGGCAGGCCCCAGGATCTCTTTAATGGTTCCAGAGAGTTCTCTGGCTAAGGATCGGTGCCGCATCTGACAAGCAATGTTGACGATCTCATCAAAAGTGATATTCCCACTGTGTTTAATGTTTTTCTGTTTCTTTCTGTCTCTTGGTGGTTCCTTGAGGGCTTTGATGATCAGGGCAGAGGCAGAAGGTATCACCTCAATCTGGGCCTGTCTGTCCTGAATGGTGAGTTTCACTGTAATCCTCAGGCCCTTTGTCACCTGTTGCCTTGGCAATGTCATCACCAACTTTTTTTGGAGACAGACCCAGGGGGCCGATCTTGGGGGCCAGGGCAGAAGTGGCACCGACTTCACCTCCGGTACACGACTTTGATCTCGTTGGGGTCGAACTTCGGGGGCATGGTGGAGGCGGCTGGTGTCGGATGAACCCGGATTCGGGACGATGAAGAAAGTTACATCTTGGCCTCCTCCGAGCCGAAAGGCGAGACAGCTGCTTTCGTTCTTTTGTTGCTTCATTCTTTCTTTGCTGGGCGTTTTGTCCAATTCTTTGTTCAAAACGCCAAGAATCTGGACAATTTGCAGCCATGACCCTCTACCGGTGACAGTATCATTTTGTGTCGCCTTCATTGGCCTATGAGAGTGTGAATTCTTCCACATTCTGGCCAGCACATGGTCTGTTGTCTGTTTAATTTCAGTGATTCTAGTAGGTAGGTAGTGATGTCTCATTATGGTTTTAATTTGTACTTCTCTAAAGACTAATGGTGTTGAGCATCTTTTCATGTGCTTATTTGCCATCCATATGTCTTCCTTGGTGGACCTGATGCTGGCAGCCAGCTGGGTGGGGAGTGGGGCTGGGGGCGTCTCTGTTCTCAATACCTGTATTGCTTCAATGTAGTCTCCATGTTGGCTACTGTGGGCGTCTTCATAGCATGCTGGCTTGGTACCAAATGTTAAGTGTCCCAGTTGAGACAGCAGGCAAGGCAGAAACGATATCCTTTTTGTGACCTAGCCTCAGAACTTACATAGCTTGTTTTTGACTGTACTTTATGTGCCAAGCCCAGAGACAGTGTGTGAAGGGACTAAGAAGTTACAAGGCGGCCGGGCGCGGTGACTCAAGCCTGTAATCCCAGCACTTTGGGAGGCCGAGACGGGCGGATCACGAGGTCAGGAGATCGAGACCATCCTGGCTAACACGGTGAAACCCCATCTCTACTAAAAACACAAAAAACTAGCTGGGCGCAGTGGCGGGCGCCTGTAGTCCCAGCTACTCGGGAGGCTGAGGCAGGAGAATGGCGCGAACCCCGGAGGCGGAGCTTGCAGTGAGCTGAGATCCGGCCACTGCACTCCAGCCTGGGCGACAGAGCGAGACTCCATCTCAAAAAAAAAAAAAAAAAAAAAAAAAAGAAGTTACAAGGCAAAGGGCATAGATACAGGAGGCTACAAATTGGGCTATTCATGCAATTATCTGTTGTGTATTTTTTATTGTAGTAGAAACAC